ATCACAATAGTGCATCATTGGAAGGGAAAAATGAAGATTCCTGAGATTATCATTTCAGAGGAAGGGAAAAAGACGCTGAGAAAACCTTATGAAAAGAGCTTGATAGTTAAGTTACTAGGATGGAATATTGGCTTGCGATCACTTGAGCCCAAACTGCAGGCAATGTGGGGAAAACATGGATCAATCTCTGTTATTGATTTGAGTAATGACTTTTTTGTGGTGAAATTTTCTAGTTGGGAGGATCATGGGAGGGCGTTGTGCGAGGGACCTTGGCTAATCTCTGACCATTATTTGACTGTCAGAGAGTGGAAAGCCAATTTTAACCCAGCTACAGAGGCTATAAAAGATGTGCTAGTGTGGATTCGTTTATCAGATCTACCCCTTGAGTGCTATGAGGAAGAGGTTTTGCAAGCAATTGGAGATCAAGTAGGGTAGACGGTGAAGATTGATGTTACGACGTTGCTTCAGACCAGGGGGAAATTTGCGCGGTTGGGGATCCAGGTAGATTTATCAAGACCGCTCTTGCCTCAATTTATTTTGGATGGTAGGGAATATAAAATAGAATATGAAGGACTGCATCTGTTATGTTATCATTGTGGTAAATATGGCCATGTGGAGAAAAATTGTGTGGAAAAAATGGAAGAATCGAGGAATCAAGGGCCAGATGTGAAAATGAATGAGGAGGAACGTTTGTTTGGAACTTGGTCTGTTGTTCAGAAGAGGAGAGGACCGAGGCGAACTGGTGGTGATAGGAAGGACCAGGAGGGTAGTGTAAGAAAATTTACTGGTTCTCGTTTTGAGAGTTTGGGAGTTCAGGAGGATAATGGGCTGAAGGAAAATCTTTCTAATGCAATTGTACCAGTTTCTACTAAGATGGAGGACAGATGGGAAATAAGAAGTGTAGATAGTAGAACTTGGGAAGAAGTTGCTGAGGAGTGGAGGTTGGAGGTAGGAGATAGAAAGATTATGGAAGATAATTACTTAAGAAATAAGGGGTTAAGAAGGATTGTTGGTAAAAGAGGGGAAGTAGAGGAGCAAGTAGCGTTTGAAGCCACCCCTGAAAGTTTTGAAGGGGAAGCCATAGTAGCTTTGAGGGAATTAAATCAAAATACTATGCATGCTGATATGGTTTGTGATGATAATAAAGTGGAGGTGTGTGGTAATGGTGGGGGTAGACCTTCGGATGAAGCCAATGTTATTAAAGAGGGCTTGGTAAAAGATTCTTTCAGGGAGATAGGTGAGGGAAGCGGACTGATGAGGATTGATTGATTGCTCTTTTATTGTTGTTAATGATGAACAAACAAATTTTAGTGTGGAACTGCAGGGGTGTAGGAGGGAGAGATGTGGAGAGGGATGTGAAAATGTTGTTGCAATTGAAGAGACCTGAGATTGTGGTCCTTTTGGAGACAAGAGTTCCAGCTAGAAAGGCTCATAGCTTTTTTCAGAAGCTGGGTTTTAATGAAGTTGTGGCAATTGAAGGTTTGGGATTTGTAGGTGGGATTTGGGTGGCTTGGAATAAGGAAAGGGTTAGAGTTGATTGTCTTGAGAAAAAAACAACAATATGGTTTATTTAACATCAGCTTTGCAAATGAGGAACCTTGGGTGGCAGTGTTGGCTTATGTTGCACCTAGAGATAGAGAAAAAGGTGAATTTTGGGAAGATATGAGGCTTCTAGCTGAACGAATGAGAAGGCCATGGATGATCATTGGTGATCTCAATGATGTGAGGGGGGAGAGTGAAAAGAAAGGGGGGCCCCCTATCAACCAGAGAAGATGTAGTGTTTTTGATGAAAGGATTAATGTTTGTGGCTTGCTGGAAATAGAAAGCTGTGGTAATCGTTTCACTTGGAGAGGACCATTAATTCCTGGCTATCAATGCCTTTTTGAAAAGTTAGATAGAGGATTGTGTAATGAGAATTGGAAATTTAGATTCCCAGATGCAACTATAAGAGTGTTAGCTCGTCTAGGAAGTTCTGATCATCATCCAATCCTTTTATGTTTGGAAGAAGGGAACAGAAATGGAGTTAGACCGTTTCGTTTTGAAGCGGCCTGGATGATGCATGACTCCTTTGAAAATGAAGTTAGGAGGTCTTGGAGGAAAGGGGGTGATGTGGATGAGAATTTGAGGGGATTGCAGGGCTCTCTTGTAGTCTGGAATAAGGAAGTATTTCGTAACATATTTTTTAGGAAACAGAGACTAATTGCTAGAATTGATGGAATTCAGCAAAGATTAAGTAATTCTAATCGGCCTATTGATCACTTATGTAAATTGGAAGGAGAGCTCCAGGATGAATTGAAAGAAGTTTTGAAGCAAGAAGAGATTTTATGGTTTCAGAAATCACGTAGTGATTGGATTAATGATGGTGATAGAAACACAAAATATTACCATATGAAAACTGTTATGAGACATAGGAGGAATAAGGTATCTATGTTGAGAAATGAAGAAGGAGTTTGGATAGAAGATGCAAATGCCTTAGAGTGCATGGCTGTTGATTTTTTAAGAATCTGTTTAAGGAGGAAGGAGAGGGGATATTGAACCTTGAGCTAGAAGTATCTTTCGCTCATCTGGATGATAGTGTTTGGGAGAGAATGGAAGGGACAGTGATGGAGGAGGAGATCAAGGGAGCAATTTTTAACATCGGAGCCTTTAAAGCACCTGGAGAGGATGGATTCCCTGCAATTTTCTTTTAGAAGGAGTGGCATGTAGTAAGGGAGGAAGTTGTGAATTTCATTGGCAAGGTATGGAGGGGGCAGATAGATATAGGGAGTATAAATGGTACTTTACTCACCATGATTCCGAAGATTGAGAGACCAGAAACAGTAAAGTAGTTCAGACCAATTGCATTATGTAATGTCATCTACAAATGTATCCCTAAGATCATAGTGGGACGTTTAAAAGGGACCTTGAGTAAGTTAATTGCCCCTAATCAAGTTAGTTTTGTCCCGGGAAGGCATATACAAGACAATGTTATTGTGGTTCATGAACTACTGCACACTATGAGAGTAATGAAAGGAAAGAAGGGATTTTTTGCAATAAAAATCGATTTGGAAAAAGCGTATGATAGAGTAAGATGGAATTTTATTGAACAAGTTTTAGAGGAAGTGGGAATGAAGGATGGAATGCGAAGATTGATTATGGGATGTATCCGCACGATTTCGATGCAGATTTTGTGGAATGGGGTTAAAACTGAAAAATTTAATCCGTCTAGGGGGATTAGACAGGGAGACCCCTTGTCTCCCTATATTTTTGTGTTGATGATGGAAAAGTTGACTCATTTAATCCAAGAAGCTGTCAGAAAGGGATTTGGAAGACTATTTGAGTAGGAAGAATGGGTCCTGAGGTGACTCATTTAATATTTGCTGATGATTTAATTCTATTTGGGGAAGCTTCTGTAGATCAGATAAAGGTAGTGATGGAGTATTTAAATAAATTTTGTGCTTGTTCTGGGCAGAAAGTGAATAAGTCTGCAATAGTCTTTTCTAGGAATGTTGCTGCTAATATAAGGGAGGAAATAGTAAGAGAGGCTGGATTTTGTTTGACTGATGACTTAGGTACCTATTTGGGTGTCCCTACGTATTATGGAAGAAACAAAGTTCGCTGTTTTGGAGGATTAGTAGAGAAGGTGAAGAGACGGCTACAGGGATGGAAGGTGCACTCCTTAAGTATGGCTGGGAGAGTAACACTTGCTAAGGCAGTGATTGGATCCATTCCAATTTACTCTATGATGGTTTCAAAGCTCCCTAAGCAAATTGTGGAGGAGATTGAGAAGGCTCAGAGGGCTTTTATTTGGGGGCACACCACTGAAGAAAGGAAGATGCATCTTATTAACTGGGATGTGATTCAAAAGCCAAAGGAGAATGGGGGTTTGGGGGTGCTATGTTTGGAGGACATGAATTGTGCCTGCTTGATGAAATTGGGTTGGAAATTAAGAACTAATAGTGAAGGTTTGTGGGTGGATGTGCTCAAACATAAATATAATGGGGGCTTGAATTTTGGGAATAATTTGAAAATTCCCCAAAATTCGTCAAGCCTATGGAGAGATATCGGTGGTGTGTGGGACGAACTAAATAAGGGGGTGTGGTGGGGAGTTGAGTCGGGAGAAAGAATAAGTTTCTGGAAGGACAGATGGGTAGACCAAGAAGTGTCAAGTGTGGAATTTTGCTGTGGAAATACAGAAAGCTAAATCCTTTCAAACAATTCCAGCAGAAATAAGGGGCGAGGAGGTGAGCACAAGGTGGATAACCCCTGAAAAGGATTGGGTTAAAGTTAATTTGGATGGTTCAAGCAGGGGAAATCCAGGACGAGCAGGATGCGGTGGGGTGATTCGAGACCACCATGGGGCTTGGATCGTGGGTTACTGTAGAGATGTGGGATGGAGCACAGCCTTTGAAGCAGAATGTTGGGAGCCGGGTGAAGGAATAGAGGTGGCGAGGAAACTGGGTTTTCAAAAAATTCATCTTGAAACTGACTCTGAAGAGCTTCTTTATGCTTTGAAAGGGAAGGAGATTGAAGGAGGAAAACCGCCTAATTGTGTGAGGATGATGAGAGAGGCTGTCGAACGCCGCAAGCAATTTAGATTTTCTCTTACTCGCCGATCGGGCAACCAGTGTGCTGATGCTATGGCAAAGTTGAGTCTTGAGAAAGACCTGGGAAGAGAATGTCGATTATTCTTTGAGATTCCTCAGGAAGTTGTGCGTGTGGCAAGAGATGAAGAGGCGCAAATGATCTGGAGAGACACGGGTTGAGGATAGTAGTTTTGTGTTGGTTTTGTCTTTTCTTGTTTTAGGCCTTGGGCCTCCATACTACCCAAAAAAAAAAAAAATCTTTATATATTTATTTTTTTTTGACGGCTTTTTTAACGATTTTTTCATATTCCCAACAGAGATATTTTGCTATCCCCAGCTCTTCAGTTGAATTTCCAACGTCCATTTTTCCCAGAAAGTTTCTTGCCCGCGCCAACCCACTAGGAAAATGGGTCCAGTCATTAACTTCTTCTGCGGGCTATCCTGATTCAAGTCTAAACTCTGATTGGAAAATTGCGTCCCAATATTGATTCCAATTTCCATTTCAATGATCACTCCCCGGCAAAACGCCGGAAAGTATTACCAATCACTTGACTTTCTCTTATCTTCAATGATCAATATTCGCTCGTTCGCACACCAATACAGTTATCGCACTATCATTCCCAAGTTTCAAAGCTTCTTTTTCTCTGTCTTCTCTGCTTTTTTATTCAGCACACTCATACTTCCATTTCGGATTTTTTTTTTCCTTTCTACTTTTCTTTTCCCAGCAGCCCCATATACAAATGGAACCCAGATTTGGTTTTCCACTTCTCTTCTTATTGTTATTATCTATCTGTTTCAATGCAGAATCAAAGTGTCAGAAAGGATGCAACCTGGCTCTTGCCTCCTACTATGTTTGGGTTGGTTTTTCCAATCTCACGACGCTTTCGCAGATTATGCAATCCCCAGTTCTTCAAATTCCTGAAGATATCGTCAGCTATAACAAAGGCCAACTATCTACCCGAAACTATGTCCAAACCACCACTCGAGTGAACGTTCCGTTCCCTTGCGATTGCATCGGTGGTGAATATCTAGGTTACGTATTCAAGTACCCAATTCAAACAGGGGACACATATGTGAAGGTTGCGAATCAGAGCTATTCCAATCTGACCACTGCTTCGTGGTTGCAGAGCCACAATGGCTATCGGCCGACTAATTTTCCTAATTCTGGAACATTGAATGTGACAGTGAACTGTTCGTGTGGGGATAGCCACGTTTCGAGAGATCATGGGTTGTTCATCACGTACCCGCTTAGAGCTGAGGATTCTTTGGATTCAATTGCGAACCAGACGAATCTTGATCGATCGTTGCTGCAGAAGTATAATCCTGGTGTTAATTTTAGCAGAGGGAGTGGTGTGGTGTATATCCCCGGGAAAGGTACACTAATTTATTTTATATCACGTGATCTTAATTCGAACTTATGATTGAATAAGATCTTAAATTTTAGAGTTCACCTAACTTTATTTGTCAGCATATATCAATAAATAATGGTCAAACACTTCTTGGCTGGTATAATAAATTCCTTCTCATGTTTGGATCCTCTTTTTTTTTTGTTTTTTTGACCGGAAGTTTGGATCCTTTTTTTGGACTTAACATCTTCAGTAAAAAAAAAAAATGCATTATATGCTTATCACAGGGTATTCAGTTCTGGTAATTTGACCTTGACTTCGAATCCTATAGAATTTACTAATGGGTCTGAATCATTGCCTTTTGCTTGTAAAACTGATTTACCATATTTTTTACTATAGCATGGTCTCCGATCCAATCTTTGTCTCTGTGAGAATCTCTCCCACACTATGGATTTTGAACGAAATTAACTCTAATAATTGACATTAGTGATTGTGATTTCACAGTCAACTAATGGGGATCATGTAACATAGACAACCAAAAGTCATTAATGATTTCTGATAGTATATCGTCTGAAAATGCTCAAGTGAAAGAAAAGCATTGTTCTGGTAAGGAAAAAAAAGAAAAGAAAAGAAAAGCATTGAGGTTTATGGTTACTAACAAGTAATATTTTTAAGTTTTTTCTTTTCTATGCCAGCATGTTTTTAGTTTTCTTTTTTCAATTTGTTATTGGGAGCATATTATAAATATTTTTGCATTTTACTAACCCCATTTTTTGGCTTTTACTTTTCAGACAGTAATGGTGCCTATGTGCCCCTGCCCCCGAGGTAACTTCCCTGTTTTTAGATGATTAGCACATGAAGCCGCATATGTGTTTTTTCTTCTTGTAAGATTTTTGAAGAAATTGCTGGAAGTTGCCCTCCGTTTTCAAAATCTACACGTGCTCACTTAAAAAAAGAGACGCACTGTATTTTCATCGAAATTTTTTTTTCACTGAAGTACCTTTCATTAACTTAAATGCATTTTTTTTGGTTAAAAAATAGTGAAAACAAAGTCTTCTCTTTCTTGCTTTTATTTTTGCCTATTTGGATAAAATGCATATTTATAAAATTTAGTTAATGGAGGGTATTCTTAGTAAAAAAATTTTAAAATTGGGTTAAACTGTATATTTGGAAATGGTTCTGTGTAATTTTAGTAAAATTCAAGGGAAGCTCTTGTATGTTACTCCAAATTTTGTAATCCTAACGCATGTTCTCCTTTGTTTTGTTTTGGTTTTTTTTTTTTTGTTTTTTTCAGCCCCAAAGGTTTGTCCTTCCTTCTCCTCGAAGACTTGCTAATTTGAAGCGTGGGTTGGTAAGAATATGCTCAAGTTGGAAGGTCAATGCTACTTTAAACTGATATAGTGTTTTTTCTTAATAAGCAGGGCTAAAAGGCATCGGTATTGCTGGAGTATCTGCTGGAGCAATAGCTGGAATTCTGTTATTGATAGTTTGTCCGTATGTCGTGTATTACCGAAAGAAGAAGGAGGAAGAGGAAAAATTGCTTTCAGCATACGCTGCTCAACCTGGTAATGGTACATAGATATCTACCTCTTCTCCTTCTGTTTCCATTGTATTTCCTGTCAAAATATGGGTAAAATGTAACAAGTTCCAAAGGGCTAATCGGTTTAATAACTCTCATGCTCAATTAGTTCATATTACCAGTACGAAATGGTGTCAAATTGGCAGAAAGATCATTGATTGGGGGAGAAACCTGGTTGGCAATCCATTCAATTAGCTGAAGTTCATCCTCTTGGCTGCTGCTGTAAAAGGAAGTGAATGGTGGCCAGGATCAAAGGCTTTGAAACTGTTTTCTATCTAAGCTGGACAGGCTGTCCAAAACCTTTGGTAAATACTTGAAGCAGAAGTAAACGATGAAAGACTGAATCAATACCCTTAACATTTCTGAGAGTTTCTGGGTGGATGTAGATCATTCCAAAAGATCCAATTGCTGTGTCACTATCTAGAATTTCTCAATTCATCTTTAGATGTGTCTGAAATAGAATAATTTAGTTCACTCAACTTATTTTCTGTCAGCTTAGTTCACTAAAATAAATGGATGAAATGCATAAAAAATGACAATGTAATTGATTGAATGTAGTAATGCTGAGTATAAAATTTCAGATTCCAATAGTCTTCCTGCTTCTGCTGATACTAGCATCAAAGGTATTACTGTGGACAAATCAGTTGACTTCTCATATGAAGAACTAGCTCAAGGCACAGATAACTTCGGTATGGGAAATAAAATTGGTCAAGGTGGTTTTGGGGCTGTCTACTATGCAGAGCTGAGAGGCGAGGTTTGTAATTTTCATGTATTACTAAATTTAACTTAATTACATGCATTTAAAAGAAAAGTTGTGTTTCATTAATGTTAATGAGGATATTTTTATCATTGATGCATTAAATTTCTGTTTGGCTGCATCTTTCTTTTAACCAAGAATATGTGAAAAATATTTAAATAAGACGGTTATAGTCTTGCTCTGTTGATGAGTTATAGCAGCATTTGACAAACTCTGAGATTATTACATGTGTTGGATTTGGAATGTATCTATTATAAAAATGTAGGTTGAAAGAGCCAAGACCTTCAGAATATATAACTCAAGGGATTTTCCTTTGCAGAAAGCTGCAGTAAAAAAGATGGAGTCACAAAAATCAAGGGAATTTCTTGCTGAATTGAAAGTGTTAACATGCGTTCATCACCTAAACCTGGTATGATGTCTTTTGAACAAAAGCATAGGGCTAGTTTTCTTGACTGTATAAGTATATAGTTTGTTTCTTTAAAAGCTAAACTAAGTATTAATTTTGATAGTTTTTTTACTGCCCTTGAATGGTATGGGCAGATGGCTTTTTCAGTGAAGGGATTCAGCATTAGTCTAGGCATTGACATGTATAGATCAATTTCATTATTTTGAACTTATAATAGAAAACTATATGTCAAAATAGAATTCAAAGGTCATCTCATTTGGGCATTAGTCATGATTAATTTTTGTTTTTCACAATAAAGTCAATGATGTAATTCCCATGCTTGTTAGTTTCCTTTTAAAGCCTGATAGCATCAAATTCTATGCTCCAAGGTTAATCAATTTCCCCCTTTGCATCACTCTTCTATGTCGGTTTCCTGATATAAGTTTTTATTTATTTGCTTAGAAGTTTATTGTAAATGATCATTCTCATCAATTCTCAGCAAGATTATTGTGAATACTCTTCAGCTCTAATGTAAGTAGTGTTATTTATTTTTAAATCATTCAGGACAGATAATAACAAGTTCTTGTCATTCAACTCACTCAAAAGTTTCTCAACACATCTAACATTTTCGGCTATTAATCTGTGGGAAATCCAATATGTCTTGATCTTTCTTTTCGGCTCTTGGCTCTTCTTTCTTTTGTCTCTCTCCATCTACTTATTGTTGTCTCAACTCTTGCATCAGTTTGTATCAAAGGGAGTCATCTTTGCACCATTCATTTGCTTCACAAAATATAAAGCACAATAGAGAAGGAAAGTTAGTGAATTGATTTTTCCCTAAGCTTTCTATCTTCCCATTTTTGTTATTTTCTTGCAAAACTTTCTGTTTGGAACAACCTTGAATTAATAAATTATCTGCATTATGAACGACTTTTAAATTGTTTGGATGGAGGGTTACTACATTATAAACCTAATGTGAATGACTAAAAAAGAACATAATGGCATAGTACACTATTCACAACATGGCACAGCCCACTGTTCATGCCAACTTTTCCATAATTCCCTAAAAGAAAATCTTATAAATGAAAACATGACAAGAATTAACAGCTTATAAATCATATGATTAGTATGTAAAATTAATGCGGGGCAGTTTTTGATTGGTGTTTTGATTTCCATTAAGCTCTACAAGAATATTTGTTGTAATATGCTTATGCACAACATTTAATCTTATCTGCTACTATGTTATGGAGAAATTAGTTTTGTTCTGTCTTGTCATTTCTAGTGCCAGTGTTTTTACATCTGCACAGTCATTTTTTCAAGCATCTTATTTCATGAATGGCTTATATTTGTTGTGTGGATCATATAATACTGTCATAAGTTCATTCTACCTATTAAAAAACTATGTAGGTGCGCTTGATTGGATATTGTGTTAAGAGGGATTCTCTTTTCCTTGTGTATGAATATATTGACAATGGAAACTTAAGCCAACACCTGCGAGATTCAGGTGAGAAAAGAATTCCACCAACGTCTATTTTTGTTATCGTACGTCAACCTAATTATCACATTAATTTAGCTACATTCATTTTTTTGTGCATTGCATTAGCACAAAATCTCTTTGACTATAATTTTATGGCTTGCAATAAATTTTATATTTTATGTTGATGATCAAGTCACTTTTGACAGGGAGAGAACCCTTGCCATGGTCTATGCGAGTGCAAATTGCTCTGGATTCAGCTAGAGGTCTTGAATACATTCACGAGCATACTGTGCCTATTTATATTCATCGTGACATAAAGTCGGCAAATATATTGATAGATCAAAACTTCCGGGCTAAGGTTGAATTCTTATTCAATATTTTTAGAGCTTATGTCTATTTTTTTTGCATGAATTGTAATTCCTTGAATATTCATCTTTACAGGTTGCAGATTTTGGGTTGACCAAGCTCACTGAAGTGGGAAGTTCATCACTTCCCACTGAAAATCTTGCAGGCACCTTTGGTTATATGCCACCTGAGTATGTCAACTTCCACTTTTCTTTTCATGCAACAACCTACTTAGGCAGAGAAGATTTGCGGATTTTGTGAAAATATGGAAATGAGAACCTGAGGCCATCCAGTAGATTTAATATAAATTAGTAGCTCTCCCTCTTTTTTCTTTCGAAATAGATTGATTTTTGTCACATGCATATCATCACAAACATGACCAAAACAATCACTCACATATGGGGCCTTAAAGAGTGAAAATATCCTCATGGATATTATGCAGATGTTTTTAGCCGCTAGAAATTGCTCTTCTCTGCCTTCTTTGTAATGACATGAAAAAAATGGGGTAGTTAATATTTTAATTATTTATTGTAGATTGTCAACAAAGATATGTTGACAGCTTCTTGTTACGGGAAGCTTTTCAATATCTTTGAAGTGCTGAGTTCGAAGCTCTATGGTGGTAACAGGTTTTAACACTCTAAAGTTACCAAACTACCCTTACTTTAGCACCGTTGCGATTCGAACTCAACAACATAATAAGGGGGTTTTGGATATCCTAACAGTACTTCATAAAAGTATTTTTCTGTAAATCAAAACAAACTTCTCCACCTTCCATCCAAACACCTCCTAAGGATATTTAACAGCCTAGATGTCATTTGGAACCTAATTGCTATCAAACTGAGCTTTTGAGACCTGGATGTCGTTCTCCCTTTGAATAACGTGATTGGATATGAATACCAAGAAAGTTTGTGTTGGTGTGGAATCCTTAAAATGAGTTCACCCTTCCCCCTTTTCTGATCACCAAAACGATTTCACTTTTGTGTGCTCAAGTTTGATTACTCTTCTCCCATCTGCAGGTATGCTTATGGTAGTCTTTCACCAAAAATTGACGTCTTTGCTTTTGGAGTTGTCCTATATGAACTTATATCTGCTAAAGAAGCTTTGTCCAGGGCTGGTGAAGCTGGTTCCGAAACAAAATCCCTTGTCTCTTTGGTGATTCTTGACTTCTTGGTTAAAAATGTTTTATTTACTATTCTTTTTTTAATTACAAATCATGTGATTCTACTAGAATTTAAGAGTTATATTTGCCTTGGTTGGTGCAGTTTGAAGAAGTTTTTGAGAAGCCTAATCCAAAAGAACATCTTCAAAAGCTTGTTGATTCTAGGCTCGGTGATCAATACACAATCGATTCGGTTTACAAGGTGAGCATATAAATTGAACTATTTAAAACTCTGTGTTTGAAAAATACCTATGTTCGCTGTCAAGTGCCAGGCTCTAGAACTATCTCCACCAACTAATCAGAGAACTTGACAGCAACTATATAAAGAACTCAGAAACCAAGGTAAGTGTGTCAATGAAGCGAAAATGCAATAGAATTAGTGCGTTGCTAATCCAATTAAGTCATGAAGAGCTCATTCACGTATTCTGATCCCACAGCTATCATCACACCGCATGAAACCATTTAATAACTATGAAAATGATGGCCACATACAAAGGTCCACAACCTCACTAATGTTTTAGTGACATGGCCCAACTCTGTGTAGTGCTAATGTAACACCCAAATAGTGCCCCAAAATATGATGTGACTTTGAAAACACAATACTCCTAAATCTGTAAATTTCTATCCAGGAGTCCAAAATAACCTAGTCACCATGAAGCTCTCTACAACTAGTTTGGAATTAAATTTTATAGTGATTCCTCAAATGCTTGTGTTTAAAATCTAAAACTAAAAACGAAAATGATTATTGTTTAACAAGTAACAACCTTAACTCATCAAATGGCAATAGCTAAGGCAGTGACAGCTAAGTTTACAAAGGGCAATTAGATCACTTCACAAAAGCACTTAATTTTAGAATAGTTTTTGAAGAAGTTATTGAAATTAAACCATTTCGATGAACTATTTTGAAATTCTCATATTTTAGTGTTCTTTATAGGGAGAATGACAAAAAAGATCTGAAAAATTGTAAAAGCTCAAATTAGGTATTTTCACAAAAATGTGTTATAATGTGCAATTTAATTGTTGTCAAACCTATTAAAGTTAGTGTTGTCACAGATCCTTATTTGGGATTTTACAATTTTTCAGGGTTTTTTTTGTCATTTTCCCTTCTTTACATGTCCTTCCCCTTGTATTCTTTTGTTAAAGTGGGTAGGATATGACAGTCTTTATAGAATCCAAACATATTTTTGAATCTTTCTGCTTATAGAAGCTATTCATGGTGCTTGCAGATTGCACAGCTAGCCAAAGTGTGCACAGATGAAGACCCAGACCGACGTCCAAGCATGAGATCTGTTGTGGTGACTCTAATGACACTTTCTTCTTCTTGTGTGGAATGAGACACTGCCTCCTTGTATGAAAATCCATCATACACAGAAATGTTGTCCGGAAAGCAGATGTAGAAAATATATGTCAATAATATTTAAATTAAGTGACTCACATGTTATTTTGGATTCCCCTTGTTTTTAAATCCAAAATAATGAATAATAAAGATGCTAATTTTTTCATCAAATAAAAGGTTTCATATCTGTATATTTTATTATAGGTGTTTTTTTTTTTTTATATATCGGAATAAAATAACTGAACTACACGAACCTGAGCTGCAAAGGAGACTACAGATTCTCTATTGAGAGGTTGGAGCCCCACGGGTCCATTCAGTGCCTTCTTCGCCAGTACATCAGTCAACAAATTCTGGTCTCTGTTGATAGTATGAAAGGCAATTTTCCAATTCCGATTCTGCAACTCTTTTGTCTCGCGGATGATTGCCCAATCGACATGTACATCAATATCGTTACCTCGAATAAGGTTGAGTGCGTCTAAGGAATCACAGTGTATGATCACACTACGTCCACCCAGATCCCAAGCATGTTTCAAACCCAAAAGGCATCCCCAGAGTTTGGTTGTGAGGTGATCTCCCTTGTCCATGCAAAACATGAAGCCTTCAAGAACCTCACCATCGTGCTGCTTGAAAACACCACCACACGCCACCAGTCCATTCAAGAATGAGAACGCACCATCCACTTTGACCACCATGTCAGCTGTGGCTTCTAGTTCTGGTAACGTAACCTGGCTCATTCTCGTGTTGATCTTCGTGCCTTGCAACTTCTGCGTCAAGGTTCGCATACATGAGCTAATTGCCAAAGCTTTCCTTATTACCTTATCATAATCTGTGGCTGAGTTCGAGTGTGTGAAGTCATTCCTTGCTCGCCAAAGCAACCAACATATTATAAAAAATAGGTTCTTCCAATCCGAATCAAGTGTCTCGACTTGTGTCCCCATGTTTAACTGCAGCCAATCACGGAAGTCACAAGAGAAAAAGGCGTGGTGCATATCTGCCTCGATGATCCATACCCAAAACTCCCACGTTTCAGGACAATCCCTGAACACATGTGCCTCATCCTCTTGATTTTATTTACATCAGTCACATAATCCATTGAGACGTATTCCACGGCTGAACTTTCTTTGGTTAGTTAAGACATGTTCGTGATGCACAAGCCAAGCAAAAGATTTGCACCTTTGGGGGGCTTCAACTTTGCTCCAGTTGCTCACAGAAGCTTCTGTTGGTAGATTGAGAGCTTTGTATGCTGAGCTGGTGGTAAACTTCCCACTTTTCTCCTACTTCCAGCGTCCTACCTCCTTTTCTTGGTGGTTTGTGGTCTGCTAGATCCCTTCTTTTGTGTGGTGCCAATTATTCTTGACTCCTTGCCACGTGTTTGATCCCGGCTTTTTTTCATTAATACGGGGCATAAGATCAGTGCCACATCCGTATTTATATCGAATGACCTTAATCCAAAGAAAGTCTCTCTTAGTGACAAGGCCCCATCCTAGCTTCATCATAAATGCTTGATTTTGTTGCTTGATGTGCCTCATTCCTAGGCCTCCAACTTGTTTCTCCGTGCAGACTTTGTCCCAAGAAATTAGATGTATCCTCCTTCTTTCATCCAAGGATCCCCATATAAAGTCACGCGCTTTCTTCTCAATGATCTTTGTAGGTACTATCCGGGAGGTAGGATGTTTGCTTAACATGATTGGGCATGGCAAACAGACTTTGCAAGTGTGCTTCTTCCCACAAAAGAAAGGCTTTGGATCTTCCAATTGCTCAACCTTTTCTTAATTTTGTCAATAACATACTGGAAGGTCTCATTTGTGACTCTTTCATGGTGGAGTGGGACGCCTAGAAACTTGCCCAGATCAGCTGCTTGAGAAAACCCCAACTCTAGTCATCAGATGGAAAATTACACGTAGTTCTTAAAATTTCACACTTTTTTTGTTACATCAAGATATTTTCTGCAGTATATACATAATTTTATGTATACCCTTATTTCAATTTCACATGCCCTTACTTTTCTACAAATAATTTTGCCTTTTTCATTAAGCACCCCCACAAAAAACTTCCCTTTTTCAGGCCAACTAACAAAAAACCAAAAACCTTCCTTTTCATTAGTTTGAGAATCCAAAAAAAAAAAAAAAAATAAAAATAAGTAACTGAAAGTATGAGATTAACATTTTAATAATTGCCACCCTCTTTTTTGAAACCTCAAATGATTTTTCTTTTAATTAAAGCAAAGCTTAACTTATTTTCATCTTTCAATATCGCTTACCTAATGCTTATCTCTCTACCCATATTAACAATCTTATGAAGGTTTGGCATGAGTATTAGGAAACATGATAAGCATGCAACTTGATGTGTGAAGTAAATTGTGGTTATTGCATATTTTCTCTTGATTTTTCAATGTTATGAGTTCGAGTCCCTATAAAGAACATGATAGATGCATAAGTTATGAGCCTGTGTGACTCAGCAGTTCACGGCTACAAGCTCCTTTTTTTTTTGGTAACCAAAAGCACATTTCAAGGTTTTGTAGCGTTTGGATTGGCAAAGGACGAATTTAACTTTTGGATAAAAAAGTCACAATAAACTATAAATAAAAATTAGTTATTTATGACTTATGACTTTTAGAATACGGAGAGAGAAAAAATTAAGAAATTTACTATGTTTTCTGATTTTTATTATAAGTCTCAAATAACTAATTTACTGATAACAAAAAGTTAGTTAAAATTAATTAAAAATAATAAACTAGTCAGAAATATACTTTTGTTTTTAAATATATCCTCATAATAAATGATAAAAAAATTTAAAAAATAAGATCAACAAGAGCTTATAAATAATTTAAAATTAGTATATTATGTAAATTGATATTTTTTATTTTTTATTTTTTAATAAAAGTCATACATATTTTGGTAATTTTACAAACTAAGATTACTTATTCAATCATAATTCAAACAACTTCCTTTTACAAACTAATTTATTTATAAAAATCAATCTAAACATAAATCACATCATCCAATTTAACTTTTATCCAATCTAATTTTTTTAAAAGTCAAATTAAAAATAAGTTACTTTTCTTATCACCAATTCAAACAGGTCCTATGACAAAATAGTACATAATATATAATCCAAATTATAAAAATACGATGTAATACAACTAGAAATTATTAAAAAAAATCAATATGCATTGATTTTATTAGAACTTTAGAAAGAGTTTCAGCTGTTTAAGTAAAAATGTTGGAAAAAACTACTGTGAGATTTCAAAAAAATAATAATTATTTAAAAAATTTAATGATAAATGAGCAGTTAAAACATATTATCATTTTTTATTCTAAAAGTTGTCATTAGAACTTATTCAGTTATCATGTTCCTTCCACATGATCTTATTACAATTCCGCCAGTGTTTTTTTTTCCCAGAAAAAACTATCCATACCCAATAATGTTTAAATTTAACTTCGTTATATAATCATATAAAAAAAAGTAAAGAGAAAAGAAATTAGGAGAGTAATATAATGATTGATGCTGAACTTAATTTTAGTATTTAAAAAATCCCAAAAAAACAATGCTCAAATTATTAAAAAAAATTGAAATTTTGACAACCTAACTGTTATTTTTTTGGCATTAATTCGCAGCATTTTTGAATATCTAAGAAAAGAAAATTAAGACTATTCGACCTCAGGAAATAATTTGCCTTCCAAGTTATTTTCCCAAACGACGAACCTTTCAAATTTCAAGCACGCGCCAGAGGCACAGTCCCGTGATCCCGTCCTGGACTTCTTTTGCTGGGCTGACTTCTATTGACTTGGTTTGTGTACGAACTTCTTTAGTTTTCCTACACACAGTCCGGACGATTGCTTGGCTAGTCTTCCATGATTATACTAGATTCAAGGATTCACATAAAAGAAATCTCCGTCATCTTATCTTATCCTTTAGGGTGTGTTTGGTTGGAGGGGAGGGAAGGGGAGATGAGCCCCTCCCTTCATTTGCTTAAAAATTTTAGAGGGGAGGGGAGCTAAAATGTCCCCTCCCCTCCAAATTGGGGGTTTTTGGAGGGGAGCCAAAATTTTGGACCATTATACCCTTATGATTTTTTTAATATTCCACTCCTACCCATAAAATATATTATTATAATATTTATTTCAAATAAAAAATATATTATCCTAAGTAAAAAATAAAAAATATATACATTATTATAATTAAAAATATATTATAAAAATTATTTAAAAATAAAAAATTATTTAAATAAAAAATTATAATATATAAAATTAATTGTTTTTTATAAATATATTATTTATTAAATATATTTTAAAGCTGAAAAAAAAGATAGCCTAAAGAAAATAAAATTTCATTTTTCTTAGAGCATATAAAATTTGTTAATTTAATTATTTTAAATATATTATTATATTAATTAGAATAAAAAATTACTATACCAATTTTTTAATACACATATTAATATGATAAGACTGAATTTTTATTAAATTATATAATTTAAATTAAGATGTAAATTTTTATATAATATATCAATAAAAACATAACTAATATGTAAGGGTAAAATGGTAAATTGATTATTACTATCCCTCCCCTTCCCTCCTTGAACCAAATAAGGGATCATTAAATACCCTCCCCTCCCCTCCTTTTTAATCAAACCAAACAAGGTGAGGAGAAAACCCCCCCTCCCCTCCCTCCCCTCAAACCAAACAGACCCTTAATCCCACTGTGAATCATTTCTAGCTTTCCCTGATTTTTAGGAAGAAGATTCTTCCCCAGCCCATCTTCAGAGCTTCGATCATTCTTTCTTTCTGCTTATTCATTCATCAGCGCACTCATTTCCGTTTGGGATTCTTTTTCCCTCTAAGCTTTTTCAGCACGACCATATACAAATGGTACCCAGATTCGGATTTCCGTTTCTCTTCTTACTGTTATTCTCTCTCTGTCTCAATGCAGAATCCAAGTGTAAGAAAGGATGTGGCTTGGCTCTTGCCTCCTACTACATTTGGGTCGGTTTTGCCGATATCACGGTCCTTCCGCCGATCGTGCAATCCCCAGTTCTTCGAACAACACAAGATATCATCAGCTATTACAAAGACCAATTATTAAGCGATGACTATGTCGAAACCACCGCTCGAGTGAACATTCCGTTCCCTTGCGATTGCATAGATGGTGAATATCTGGGGTACGTATTCAAG